AAGATGCAGATCTATGTAATGAGCATCGCCTCCTATAGTGTCATTTGGTGCCAGCGACGTATGTTAACCTTTTCCACTTAGTTTGTGCACATGCGCTAAAATTCGGCAAAGTCGAGGTCACTTTCTGTTGCTTGTTAAAATGGTGATGCCAGCCAGCAAATGACTACACCAAAATCTTTCTGGGGAGATCTTCCGCACTGTGTAAACGCTTGCTGAATTTATACCAGAGAAATATAATCAGGCGTCAGATTTCATTTTGTGATGTGGGAGAAAATGGGGTGAAAAAGGTATATGTACGTAACATTTCTGAACGCAAAACAGGGTATTTTAAACTTGAACATCTGAATTGTTCTCCAGTTAGTCCACACATGCTGCATATCCTGATTACTGAAAGAGTGTTCGAAAAAGGTTACAATGCTATGTTTAAGATATAGCGAATTATTCTTTGTCAGTTTGATCAATTTCAATTTTGGCTCTCTGTCGACCGGTCGGCCATGTCGTGTGCACATGTGCAAGTTCATGTACATGTACTCCATCAATGCACGTAACTACTACGGACAAATAATTCTCGTGCAAAATATTAAGTTTGCAATAACTTGAAAATACTACCGATGTTTTATTAGACCTTAATATACACAGCACTTTATTTTGTTTGTTTGGATAAACTGGAGAAGTTGTTTTAAAACGGAAAAGACTGTGGGTGTAGTTATTTTCCAATCTAATGGTGTTTATTTTTTTGTAAAAATCACTTTTTCAAAATTTGTTTTAAATTTTGTGCAACTGGGTTCATATAATGCGGTGGTTTAATAATCATGAATGTCTTTACATGCGTGTCAAGGCTGAAAAAAAAATCGCGTGGACAGTCCATCTCTTGGTGTTGGGGCAAAATCCGCTTCTCCTAGGCTGCGAGATTGTCTGAAAAAACACCCCCTTTGAGGTTAACACAAGTCATGTACCGATGTATTATTTGTGAACATTTTTGAAGACCACTGAACACAGATTTTTATAAGGTGGTTTAATTAATTTACAGTATTTTTATCATTCACAAATTCTTACAATTTCAATCATCACTTGGCACGGATCTCTAAATTTGAATATGACTGTTTTGTTGTACCTACAAGCTTGCATGCAAAAAGCACTTAGCTATGTTATCAGACCCACTTTTGCATGCTTTATAATAAGATCAAAAACCAATTCCATTATCGGTGGAGTGAACTACTTTCTGGGCACGGGGCCTCCAATAACTTAACCCGCTATTCGTATTCATCCTTAGAAAACCAAACATTGTGTGCGATTTCTAGGTTGTCAGGTTCACCTTGGAGAAAATTTGTTAGATCAACATCCTTCGGATATGTTTTTACCCCCAAATCTGGAGTTTTCTGGCTTCGCTGATGTATGCAGTGACGCGTTTTGGGAACACGAGTGACTGACCAAGGCCTGGATAATGGGGCACTTTGGAAAAAGATGGGATGACAATGAAACCCATCCGGCTTAATGGATCTTTCAAAAACGCCGTTGCATAGACGGAAAAGGAATCTCCACCAAAGTAGTCAGACTCGTAGACTCCTTCATTATAATGCAGGTATGAACGATGTAAAAACTAGTCCGGCAATTGATTTGGCTGCTTGCATTTTTGGGCGATGTGCTGATTCGCTGTGTACAAACGGTTGGCACATTCGTCAAGTCGGGATTTCTGAACTCGCAGTAATAAGTGGACACAAGAGGGCGTTGTCGCACAGCCTCCATACACAATGCACAAACGCAGACGTCACAGTACAGAGGATCCTGACTTGGTCAAGTCTAACCCGACTAAAGGATTTTACTGTGTAAGCCGCTTTAACTTGAAGCACCCCTTTACCGGTTAAAGGTGTCGTCTGTCATTTGTGATGAAGTGTAGTATGTTCCTTTGAGGTAATAAAATTACTCGATATCTAACGAAGAGTGCCTGCCAACAAAGCGGGTGAAAATTTATCTTAGTAAATGATGCATATTCCGAAACCAAAAATAGATTCTAGAATTTCGATTTCTAATCAAACTTTGCCCAGTCATGTTTTGACTTGTACCTTAATCCACGGACACGTTCTCACATGCAGTCGAATGCAGCTATGCAATGACTTGCTCTGGACCGACAAATAAGGCTCGCGCGCCTCTGTGTCTTTTCAATTTTCTGTGAGATATCGATGGGCCAACACTAAAAAAATCATCAATACTCCAAACCAAACTAAACTTGATTTGAAACTTGACAAATCAAATCAAATCTTAATATTAATTTTACACACTCACAGGAAAAATGCGTTGAAATCCATTTAATATTCAAAACACTGATTAAAATCCGATATGTGGCATACAGAGAATAACTGGGAGCACAAAATCAGCGCAGGTAAAACTGAACAGCCAAATTCTAACGTACTGTAGTCGTTTTTACTTGTAAATCAGATTACTTGAGTTCACAACTTGACAAAAGTTTTACATTTAACAATTTAGAGAACTCAGTGTACCAGATTTTATTCATATTTAGCCCGCAAAAGGCTTGTTGTACTCCACGCCCGATTGATATCAGTCGGTCCTTTGTTTATAACCCTACAAAATCTCATTTGATGGTGAACGCTAAGTCTGAATATCATTAGACGGTGCTTTTATGGACCAACCGAATCTTATGTTACGTAAAAGTTGAGATCAATATGACAATAAAAAGCAAGAAAAATTGAGGCAGTGTTGTAGAATGGTGATACATGTCAGGAAAATAGCCAAGAGAAGCAATTTCCACACGCCCTGTAGGGTCTGTTTGCGGATATTACCGAAGTTCTCGAATACTAACGAAACAAGTGAGTTAGGCGAAAATGTTTAGGAACGGGAGTTCACTTGACCTAAAGATCTCTTGAATGAAACAATCGGCATCTCTAGGTATGGTAACCAGACTACAAGAACTTGGTTGCGCGTGCTCAGCACGTCGCGCGCAAGTTGCGTGAGGCACGCCGTGAGTTCCAGCCACGGGACCCTTGTCGCTCGGAGTGGATACTGTCCAGTAATACCTAAGGGCCAATTTCATAGAGCTGCTTAAGCACAAAATTAAGCTCGAGAAAACCTTACTTGATAAATCAGATTTAATGTTTTTTGGTTAACATGACAATCAGATAGAGTTTGTGTTGGTAACCTTTGTTTATTAAGTAAAGTTTTTTCCCGCTTGAGTAAATTTTGTGCTTAAGCAGCTCTATGAAATTGGCCTCTGGATTATACGCGCTGATATATGCAAGGACAGCCAATAATCATATCACCAGTGATCTTGCGCACTTTATCAAGGGCAGTTTACCGAAATGAAATGTAATAAGATGTAAACAATAACAACAAAGTTCATCACGCACACGTGACCATCACCCACAGTTTGTAGTTTACTTCTTGTGCTGCATGTAACATCAGACAAAATATTTTCAGTCGGGTCAGTCTAGCGCCAGGCCACGTGTGTACATGCTTTCCCCGAGAGGGAAATTGCGTCTGTAAAAATCCTTTCTATTTCTCCAATTGAAGCGATAAAATTACAAAATGTGCCATTAGTAAAATCCCAGGATGCCCTCTCTTCAGTGCACCTCGTGTTTATGTGCGTAAGCTGATAGTGTTCATCGATTTTGTACTGAAGTGAAAGCAAGTAATGTGATACAGATACAGAACAGACCAAAGACGTGCTAATGGAGTGGATGCCTGACAAGTTTCTGATCGTCTCATCGCTGGGCAGCGAGACGCATAATCAACAATATTCCTGGATACGTTACCTTCCATTATCATTTCATTATGCACCGGCCATGATACAAGCAGGAACCTAGGGCCGAAGGAAACAGTCAGCAGCGATCACAATGCTCCCATACAGCAGATTGTTGATTTGATCAATCCATTAATTCCGCTTTGCAAAGTGCATTGTTGATTGTAGGAAATGCAGGTCAGGTCCATTCTACTTGCCAATCGACTTTCCTTCAAGTATTTAGGCTATACATGTATGAGAAAACACGCTTCAATGCAGTGCTGAAAACTTGGGGTACTTATGGCTGTCGGTTTTCCACCCTAAACCTATGATCAGGATCACCAATTCTGCTGTATAGTGGAGATGTCAATCAGTTTGAGTTCTAATCCCCATTCCAAGAGTTCTACCCATTAAACGTACACAGAAACTATCTTAATTTGCTAAATGGCTTTGATTTGTTACCATCTTAATTACAACCTGAAGAAAAGTTTCATATTCCAACCCCTTTCTATCTGTTCTCGGCAAAGTATATGAAACTTTGCGTGAACTTTGACGCAGCAAGTCTTTTTTGTTTCATGTGAAAAGGTACATCTACATGTATATACTTCCAGTTCATGTATTTTTCTGAAGTATTTCAAATAACTACTGTGTAAAGGCAACAGAACGAAAACCCCACTCTCAACAAGAGTGAGTCTCTTATAAATTTATTCCAAAAGAGTGACCACCACTCTAAAAAGTAGGAGCCATAATTATAAAGAACAATTCTTTTTCGAGTTGTCCTTTACGTATGGCTGCATGCAGAGTGGAGTGGGTTTACACATTTTTAGCGTGGTTTTTACTCTTTATAGAGTATTTCCACTCTTTTGAAGTGGATTTATAGATGACTCGCTCTTTACGAGAGTTAGTTTTTCACTCTTTTGCCTTTAGAGTGTAAGCTACCATATTTTCCGTTTCCACGCTGATTTGTCACAAAAATAGTCCAACATTATTTTTAGGCAAAAGGATTTCAACAGAGACCTTTCAAATTAAAATTCAATTAATATACAAATCTTAAAAGGTCTTTGCTGTTGTGTAGACTGCAAAGAAAATAAATCATTACATCTTTCAGCATGTCTACTAAACTAAAACAATCACCACGTGACACACAGAGACAAACACGTGACAGAGACATCCAATAGTGTTGCTGCGAGGGAAGGATCTCTAATTTCACATTACGTACGTCGCGGGGAGCAGCAGACGTGTTGGGGCAATACAGATCCGTGAAGTGTCACATTAGCACGTAGAGTTGCCGAGAGAACACCTCGTCGTGCGTCCAGCGCTGCCCCAAGATGTTCTTAGCACAACTGCCTCGGCAATCTGATCTCCTCTTCGTCATCGCCCTCGTCCTTTTGTCTCTTACCCTGCCGACGGTGTGCCTCACCAACATCACCTTGGGCGGTCTGTTCAGCCTCGGGGGTGCTGGCTCAGATTGGGACGGCAGTGCTATCTTGCAGGCCGCGCTAATGGCCCTGCAGCACGTTAACGAGGACCCTACCGTGCTCCCGGATTACCACCTGCACATCGAAGTCAAGAATTCTAAGGTATAACTAATGAATCCTTTTTTCCCCTTCCGTTCGAGAGTGTCCATCCATTCCTATTCCCAGAGAACTACTCAAGAGCAACCTAGTCTGCCCTATTTCTTTGCTGATTTGATAGCACGAGTAGACAAGAGAATCTTGATCTTGTTATGTAAAAATAAGAAGTCGTTTTCTCATCAATCACAAAGTATCCAATGTTCTTGTGCAACAAATTCCTTTACGAGACAATAGGTGAGCTGATCATATGAACGCTGCGTATCGCGTTCGTGCCTTTATCTTGAGCGTTATTCTGCATTGATAATTTGACACGTGTGGCCGTCCTGTGCTGGCATTGTAGGAGAGGGGATAAACCGGTGTATTTTTTCCACTGGAAAAGCAGTAGCTGAAATATCTGATTTATACTTGGGCGCACCTTGATAGCGAACTAAGGCAGAGGAGTCAGGAGCTAGTGCAGGTTAGAACATCCACTAGATATCAGTCGTAGTTGGCAATGGCCTTGGCTCAGTATATTTACATTAGTGTCAAAGATGGAGGTAGCTTTTGATAAAATAGTTTTTTAAGGGTCGATGAAGACCTCCGTAGACAAACTGTTAATTTATTGTTTAAAACATTCACTGGTATGCCAATAACACGATAGGGAATGTAAAAATGGAATACAATTCCATTTGTTGTAGTTAATTTACTGACCCCTCAAACGAATGTTTTAATCCTGACAAATGATGGCCTTATGGGTGAGGCACATTTGAGAACCCCCAATTATAGTCAGGCACCCTGTCGATACGTCCGGGCAGAAGAGGAACACAGACATTGGACACGCACAATTCACATGCCAGGGCCTACATGAACATGTTCACGTATACGATGCCTAGCGCACGGTAAAAGCATGTGCGCATTCGGTATGGAGCAGTGCACAGCAAAACATACAGAAACCTTTGACAACCGTGTAGAACAAAAACCTGTCTCTATAGCAACCGCATAGGACAACAAGACAATGCTGTTGCACCCTGAACATGCAGGGTAGAGAAGCAGAAAGTGAACTGGACAGTAATTCGAAATTCACCCCCCTTCCTCTGACTCGAACCTTCACTGTGGGGTATTTGGCTTATACTGGAGCAACTCCTGATTCACACTCGATTGCCTCACCTGCGATGTGCTTATAAAAAGTGTTTTGCTGCGTTGCACGTCCTAAATAACGAAGGTGTCCGCTCTGAATACCATGGTGTTCCTTCATTTTGAACGTACGTTAAACCGCAGCGACGTGAGAACCTTACCTTCGCCCAATAACAAACTGTACACGATAGGCTCCGCCCAACTTTAGCCCTTTCTTTTTCTTGTACATCGTAATTAGTCATGTTTGTTCTGAGAACTGTTCTGGAGGCATAAACATAGTAAATGCCTCACTATTAAGCCTCCGGGGTGCGTAATAGCTTCAGGAATGTGTAGGCTATTGAGTTTAGATCAGAGCGCCAAAAAGAGTGTCGTTAGAAAAAAGCTCATGAAGTGTGGCTTTTCAAACGACCCTGATTATTTTCATTGAAGAAGAGGCAAAAGGTTTCATATTGAAGGAGTGTAAGTTGTCTATCGCCCATAAATTAGGGTGCAAATTTGCTATAAATTTATTGTCAAGAGATACACGTATTTTATAGTTAAAGGAAGTAAACGTTTAAAACAAAATCTAAAAAATTACATGAGCAAGAATTGAGGCAAATACCAACACTAGCCATATCAACAGAAGAAATGCGTTTTCGAAGATAACGCTCATGGTGGCTGTGGTGATATTTCAAAAATCTTTCCAAACACGATGTGTAAAATGAAATATTTGTTTTTATAAACATAAGAAATGTACGGTATCCCAACGTTTTAATCGTTTTCAAAGGGAGTTATTTGTTTTTGATTGCCAATTCGAATTGATAAACAACATATGACCGTATTAAGCTTATTTACTAGCCGTGTACATCTCTACGCGGGTCCAGGTGATGGCCCATTGTTGCTTACGGGTATCTACGGGCATGACAAGGATGGGTCGTATAGTTCTGTGATGTATCCAACCAATATATGTAAGTCAGAAGATCAGATGATTGGTCCATTATACAAAACCATGTTCCAATGGGATTTGGTTAAGACATAGAAAGCACCGTCTAATGATATTCAGGCTGGTGTCCATAGTCAAATAAGATATGGTTAGGCCATAGAAAGCAACGTCTGATGATATTTAGGCTGGTGCTTGCAGTCAAATGAGATTTGGTTGGGACATAGAAAGCACATACGTGGTGTGCAAGTAGATATCAGGGGCTTCAAACCAGGTAAATCGTTACCAGTCTTGGGTTGAGTGCAGGTATTATGAAGTATGCTAGAACACAAAAATCCATGAAATAAACACAAAATGCATTCTAAAGAGATGCAAGTTCCTCGTCTATCACACAATCGAATGGTAGAACACTTAACATCAGGAGGAATTTATAGGACAGTGAAACGAAGGCCATCGATGCTGCCAAAACGTGATCCATGTTGCTGGCAAATGACAAACCTTGACCAAGACTAAGTGCTACATTGATTTGAAAGGTGCAGTAACCTTTTTTAAAATAATCAATAAAGTAATTTGCTACATACTTAAGTTGGTTTAGAATATTTGAATTTAGAATTTCAACCTTTAATTGATTCATTCCATTTATTTGATGTCATGGAAAATATCATCTTTTTCTTAATTGGAAAACTTATTTCCACATTCTCCTTGGTGTAAAACTTGGTTTCAAGAACCACGTTTCACAGGCTGTGTTCAAGTGGCGCTCTTTTGCCCGCTCAACTCCTTTCGTTTCGTAGCTGCACGTGTCCAGCATTAGCATTAAACATGTACATGTAAGTATTGAACGGATCGGATTAACCATGGATTAACTGTGTGCGTCCTCTCAGAACAGAGCACAACATTATTTGGATATTTACGATGTACAAGAAAGAGAGCGGCTAAAGTTGGGCGGAGCCTATCGTGTACAGTTTCTTATGGGGCGACATTAACGTTCTCACGTCGCTACGTTTTAACTTACGTTCAAAACGATGAAACGCGAGTTACACGTACATCAGGCTCGTTCCTCCCGTCCATAATATGTAGAGGCCAAGTGTAATTGCTTTCCAGTGTCCGTAAGTAAGTTTCTTTTACTTCAGACAAGGTGCACCGTGGAAGCAGTGTTGCCAAGAAAAAGGAAAACAAAATCAAAGCCTAATTATCATTTTTTTCCAACCATGGGTACCTATTAAGTGGCGTTACTACGCGGAAGGACGCAGATATTTAGCCCTAGTTACGTCACTCTGGGTACCTCAAATTGGTGCAATCAAATTAAAATTCATCAGCATGCATATAACTTTCTATTAAATCTACAGTGACTCAAGAGTGATGCAAGTGAGTAATTTCCTTTTAAAGTTTCAAATATCTACTACTAGTATTTAAAACTCCCAAACCTTTAGAGAACAAGCTCTCAGAGGCGTTTTATTATATGATCAGACACCGTTCAGTCAGCGACTGCGACAGTCGTCCATCTTTCTCCTCCGTGGCTTTTCTCGTATCAGGTATCAATTTACAAGCGATTGCTATTTCATAAAATGTATCAACTGTATCTCATGAACTGACACAGATATGAAGTTAATATTTGAGATCCGGGCAGATATTGAGATGGGCAAAACGTTTGATTTGGTAGTGAAGTCGTTTGATCATTGCTTCTCGGGTTAATGAAGGGGTAACTATTGAGGTGCATTCCCAATGCTCAAGCCAGACCTCTGTATCAATATGTCGTTTAATATTTTTAAGACAGTTCAGGATATTAGCTTGAAAAAAGGTAAACAACGCCGAGGTATGCATGCTTTCATGACGTTGCCTTGACTTCATCAAATATTATTTTAAAAGTACCTGGTAATTGAAAGTCAAAATGAAAAAGAGGTTTGTCACATTAATTTTAGAATTTTTAATGAGGTAGCTTGTTCATATTTTGAGACCTAGTACCATACTGTGGACTTTCAACATTACAACGATAAGACACGTGACTTCGACTTCCATAGTAACCAGAAGTGCAATGATGTCGGACTATACCTAAAAACAAGCCTTTTTCGCCCTTCCAAAGGACTAAATGTTAGTTTTATTCTGAGCATGATACAAGAGTTAATGGTGTCATAATATGAAAGGGCGCCTCTTGTGGCACAATTAAAGACAGTTAACATTTGGACATTTGAGATGGGTTTTCATTCTTTCACGAAAACGGACAAAAACCATTTACCATTTATGTTGTGAAGTCTCAAATAATGATGGCATCATAATTGAAAAGACAATTTTGAGATGATTTCATTGCATAATTTTGCATAAATGTCATTCAGAGATGTCATCCTGCACGACCAATGAGATTTACATTGTTCATCGGCTTTCTCAAAATTCTGTGACTTCATTAAACTAGAAATCAATATTTCTTGATCAACTCGTGTTTGCAACTAAAACAAACACGTCTCGTCAAGTTAAAACCAAGTCTTGTTTGCTTTTTGAGATCCACAGATATTCCCCAATAAACAAAAGAACTCAAACATGAGATTTATGACACTTTTTACTTTGGTAGCTGGACCCAATTGGAAATAAACAAAATTAGCACTTCACCTTTACAAGTTGATATCAATGGAGATTATTAGTTATGACACTGAGTTGTGTAATTTAAGAAGGTAAGTAAAGAAAGGGCAGGTAAGTAAGGAAAATCATTATGGCTGCAACCTTACTATAAATTAACTTTCCGTTAGAAGAGAGTTTTGTCGTTTGTGATTTTGCCGTGCTCGTTTGTTTGTATGTTTATTTCTTTTTTTGAAATTTCCCTTGTCTGTGTCACCCCCTACAAAGAATGTAATCATTTAAGTAAATACTGACAGCGCTATGCATTTGAATATGCCGAGGAACCATTCCATTTTCCTGAAAAGTGGCTTCGATTTAATTTTGACTGCGTGCATTAATTTTACAAATGGCAAAAAAGTGATGGATATTTATTTAATTGTAAGCACAGTGAACTAGAAATACACAAACTATCGTGGAAATCGAGTTGAAACTTATTAATACGGTGTACGCCCTCCCGTTGCTGTGTTACGCGCTTGGAGGCATTGGGTGCATGGAATGAATCAACCTTTTCAGGTACAGTGAGCCACTCATCTTTCAAAGCTGCGGCAAGTTCCTGAGCTGTTCTACGCACCACCGGGCGGGACCGAATGCCACGATCGATTTCATCCCACACGTACTCGCTGGGGCTTGGGTCTGGACTGAAGTCAGGCGATGGTAGGAATTCAATTTGATTGTCCTCGAGATACTGGGAAATAACTCTGGCAGCGTGAGGTCACACACTGTAAAGTACAGTTTTCAGTCGGAAATTCTGCAGCAGTTGTCTTTTTCATGTCAAACACTGGACGCAAATTCCCAGTCTGTGTGTCATCGTTGGAATATTAAGGCTTTATTTAAAGGTCCAACATTGAATTGCTATTGGAATACTTTTACTAATGCACAGGCAGTGCGGTTCAGTAATTTTGTCTCAGGTTCACCTGTTTGGCACGTGCTCCCTCGGACAAAGAGCTAACAGACTCATTTCGAGTGACTTAACTGACTCACCAAAGTCGATGAGTGTGTCATCACACGGACAACTCAATAACTCACTTAAATGAGATTTTAGACTCATAAATAATTTTAATTTCTGCATTGCGGCGTTGATCACGGAGGCGTTGCATATTGGGTGTCGTAACGCGAGGTCTACCGCTTCTTGATCGATCTGACACACTCCCAGTGTCTCTTACACGATGGCTAAGCCTACTAATTGTTGATTTGTGGACTTGGAAATGTGCGGCTACATCCCTTGTTGACATGCCTGCATCAAGCATCCTAATAGCGCGGACTTGGTCAAACAGACTAAGTCGTGGCATTCTCGTCTTTAGTTCGTCTGCTAAAAAATCGGTTCTGGACGCTATGAACCATTAACCATCGCAGGAACATCTCAACCTCCATGCAAATTAGCCTATCAAAGTAAAACCTTGAAACTTTGTCAGACCACCATTTTCGCCTTCAGTGAAGCATATTACCCAAGACCTATGCTTGAAAATACAGGCATCAACTACGGTGCTACCAGTATTTGTAATTGATCGCCACAGCATTAGATAAAAAGAACCCAATATTTTATCAAATTGCGGTAAATTTCTTGGCCAATATGTACTAAGTCAAAATCAAATAAGATGAAATTTAAGGCATCATTAAGCCAAGAGTGTTGTGTCGTCTCAAGCCATTTTAGCCGTAAACACTGCCACTTGGCATTTTATGTTTGAAATTGACAGTATTTTGTTTGCACTATTTTCAGAGGGGGGCACACATATGGAAGCATCCAAATTGAACAAATTGTCAATTAAAATTTCGTCTTCAGAGCTCACTATCACAAGCTAAAAAGGGCTTTTCTGTTCGTGCCAAGATGCGAAACGAGGGGAACACCTACCCTGTGTTCTTAGTGGATAAACCCTTGTGCATGCCAAACAATGGTTACATGCATTGTTTGGCAGACACAAAGGTCCCTGGTATTTATGTGAATAGTCTATAAGGATTTCATGCCACTATAAACTTTCGTTATTGATTGATTTTATGATTTACGAGGCTTTCCAGGAGACATGCCAAGATGCTTTCACGCAATCTATCCCTTCGAATATAGAATTACACGTATTCAGTAACGCACTACATCGAGGATAGGCCTTAATGGAAATGGATGAAATACCACCATAACTTTGTGATTTTGCCAAGCTTGTGAAGAGCATATTGCCACAAATTGGCTTTTTATCGCTTGCAGGGAGGTTTTGAGGGAGGGCAGAAGTTCCAGCTTAAGATGATCTTCCACTTTGCTCCATTAAACACTGCTGTATGGGCCTACGGAGCAGTCCATCCAGCCCTGCGTTTCTGAGAGTAGTTTTATCTAGTTTGTTCCTGGGGGATGCATTTTCTTGAAATAGTGATTTAGTTCTGGACACAAATCTCGAAAGCTCTTTCGGTAGCGGGTTAGAACTCGACGAGAGCCTTGGCTATAGGCCTCGAGCTGGACCAAAAGAGGCCGCTTTTTTCTTAGCAACGGAGGCTCCTTTGGTTGGAACTGAACTTCGCTGGTTCACGAACGACTACAAAATGTGGGCGTCACGGTGCCATCGCTACCAACACATTGAAAACTCCCGACCAATACGGTTCTTTTCAACCGATGAGGGGTGCTTCAGCTCGAGGCGGATCGTCCCATGCACTGGGACTTGGCTTTTTAGGTTCCATGCGTGAAAGACCTAATCAATAAAAGTACACCCATTATTTGATTATATAATGAAGTTACGTTACTTTTTGTTCAACAGATGAAGCACTGCATAAGCGACTGTTGCCTCAGTTGTGTTTACTTTCCTTTAAATATGATTTAATTCAGATGAAAGGGCACGATTATAATATGCATTAGACAAAAGAAAAATCTTTTTTGGAAGAAGACAATAAAAGGTTCAATGAGAATGGAGTTCCAGCACACGACTTGCTGTTTTACAGAACGACGGGCACTAACCACTGGACCACAGAATCTGTGCGTCTGTACCCCAAAGTTAGAAACTTATACGTTTTTCTCAAGTCGCGCTTTTTAAAGCTCACCACATTATGAAATCGGTATTGCCAGTTGATGACATCCTGAATTTTGATTCATTTGCAGTGCCGTCCTGGCGAAGGGATGAAGGGGTTCGTGGATCTAATCAACGAGGAACCCACCAAGCTGATGCTCCTTGGAGCGAGCTGCTCCGTCGTTTCTCAGCCTGTAGCGGAGACATCTCAACACTGGAACCTCGTGCAGGTAAAAGTTTTGTTGTTCAATCAGTGCTTTCTCACCGGTGTAGCTATCATTAACAAATGGGCCAACTCTTTGAAGCCAAACTGTACCAATGTCGATGTTGTTTTTCTATATGCTATATGTGTCATTAGAATTTTCAGGTATAGGCATCAGACTAGCAACTCCCAAGTTAATCAAGACACCATACTCAGATATACCCTAGTCTTGGGTCTAAGACGCCTTTCGTGGTGCTCCGATCTGTCAGAGCAGTGCGTGTTGTATAATGGCGTTTCCCGTGATACCGATTCGTCTGATGATGGTTCGTGTCGTGGAATAAACAGTAGGCCTAAGGTCTTAAAATTAAGACTATAAACAATCAATAACCCAGCGTTTCGCGTACATGATTGGCTATTAGCCCACAGATATTGTGCCATTATAGGTAAATGCTTCCACACGCTAGTATAGACCTCTTCACTAATAAATTCATAATTATACATGCATGCGCACAAATGGCCAGGGCGGCAAGAAGTGTGAGCTGGCTATTAAAAATGTACAGTGGTGCGAATTCGATGATCATTTTCTCTCAGGTTTTCTGACTTTATTCATTTTTTTTGAAAAATGCGCATGCATGCATGATTCTAAATTTATTAGTGAAGAGGTCTAGTAAGCCCTCTGTTTGTCGGACGGAAAATGAAACGCGCATGTACAAGTAATAATAATTTAATAATTTCCCGGCCGATATACATAAAAAGTTCCTAAACTTAGCAGCCAACTGGGCTTCAGCAGCTTGCTAAATCCGTAGTTTTCTATGGTTACCAACTAATTTAGTATTCAATAAAACCTGGTTAAGAATGTTACCAGCTACTTGACTGAATGATATGATAGCTATGCACGCAGCTAGGACATAAGGCAATTCTTCAAACCCCAAACCGGAAAATGTGTATTTGCATGTCAGCAGGATATGGTGATATTTTGGGTGGGTCAAATTACTTTCGGGAACAACAGCTAACAAGGCTTATCAGGCTTTTATGAGTTGCAGGGTTTAGTTGCGCAAGCTCAAATATACGTCTCGCCATGTTCGCGCTGCTCAATATGTAACCCACAAATGATGTAGTCGCCAACTAGTAACTTAGAGACACCCCGGATCAACTCTAATGTTAGAAGCAAACTTAGCAACCAACTGAACTTTCCAAAGTGTTATGAGTATCACTTAGCTTCCAACTAGCTAGGCTTAATATCAACTTTGGGCGATTTTAGCAGCCGGCTAGGCTTATCAGGCTTTTATGATTATCGGCCCTTATGTTTTATGTTTTCACGAACTGACAGAAATTATGTATGTAGGGTAATAAAAAATAAGAGGCTTCCTTGTTTGGCTATTTTTGAGAAATTTAAAAAGTTTTTCTAACAACTCTCCCTTTTATGAAGACAGATGTTTAACCACAAAGTTTGTTCATACATGTACTTTATGCGAAAGCGAAGCGAATTTGATGTCGCGAAATTTCGCTTCATTTGTAACACTACGAACATCTAACAAAAGAAACAGGATGCACTAACAATGATCTCCATTGTTAATGCACCGTGCTTCTTCTGGTCATACTTAGCATACTGAGCCCGGTTCATACTTAGCACATTAGAGGAATCCTTTATTTAAGACGACCCCAAACAAAACGTTTATATAAATAGGGGATGTCAGTCTCGTCTGAAGGTATCTGAAGGCCTTTTTTCCTTTACAGGACTTGACGTCAGAAGATCGGACTTTGATGTTGGGTGCTTTCCTTGGTCTAGGTCCAAACTTAACATATCACGATTATTAAGAAAATATGGCATTTACTGGTTTGGTTTATACTTTCTTTTTTGCCACACTCAAACTATCCAGGTCTACCTCAATGTTATTTTTAAGTCCCATTTGACGGAGATAACCCTTCGTGTTATAACAACTCTGGAGGAGTCCTTCGGTCGTACAAATCCCCTCAGAAGAAACCCTGTTGTTTATTCCTCTTGATAAACCTCAAAAGGAATTTAATTTAACAAGAACTGTGAAAAGTAGGAAGTGACACGGTGAAATTGAAAGCACACTATTCAAAGTCGGCACACATAAAAGGTGTCAGCGACTGTCAGCTGACGTTAGTGTAAATGACTTATTCACAAATGCAAGACAACAGATTTTCAATTCTACGAACCACTTGTTCGACCTTCACATTTTTTGTCCAATTATAAAATACATTGATTAACTAGACGATCCATGGACCACAAGATGGTCGAAATGAATTCTATGGCCACATTGTTCTGATAGACGAGACGGCATTGCCGATTCAAGTAGGTGTGCAGAGAAGCCAGCTGTCGAGTTTCCGCTCATCTGTATTAAATTTACTAATAGTAATTTGCTCCTGGCAAGACTGGATTCATGTCAGCACAGTGGACGGGTGTTATCAAGTTTGCTGTCATTCGGCTGTGGAAAGGTCCGTGACAGGTTGTTCCTTTCAAACGAGCCATTATTCCATGAGCTGCCGTCAACCACCAATTAAATGGCCTGTAAGCTAAGGAAGGAATGGTTAGGTGTGAAACTAAATATAAATCTGACGCTGGACTTAGAAAATAGACCGAGAATGCAGTCCTATGTCAACTCCATCTGTGCATCTAAATGCATTTATTAAAACACAAAACAGTTAACCCCCCCAAAAAGGGAAAAATCTGTGACACAAATTCCCTCACATAAATTCCTGCTAGAACAATCACTGTCTTATAGTTTTCAGCCATGTCAAAGTAACACCGAGGAGTACTTTTTAATATGATATGCAAAATATGGCTACAGGTTAGGTTTGGGACATTCAAACAAATAAATTTGAGCGAGATTTCCTTTGTAACAACGGATCAATTCTTTACGCTAACAATGATTTCCGCGCCAACGGACTGAACGCTCTCTGTGACAGCGCCTGAAATGCCTACATAAATGCCACTGCTAGACGCGTTTAAATTCTCAAAAAAAGGTATTCTGACCAAAGCATACGTGTGGGAAAGCCAGTACCTAGGTTCAGTTTGCCTGTAGACTGAATTTGTTAACAGCAATTTGGTTGCAGATAAATGGTGTCTCGTCAAAGCTCACTGGATGAACGGAATGTGTTCTTAACCCGATGAGGTAAATTCCAAAAACGTTTCTGAGACAATCCATCTTGCTTGAGAAAGACACGTTCGATCAAAAAAATGAAAACAGTGCATCAAATCCGTCGATTCACAGTGTACAACGTTCTGGAAAACAACGGACTTAGACAAACACTCATTCCTTTCAGATTTGAGACACTTCGCTAAAGAAAATTGAGTAGAATCCATGTTTGTTGATTAGTGCAAAGTGGGATATCATGCTTTCAACATCTGGGGATACGGTGACTGGCTTTTCAATATCCTAGTAATATAGGTACAGCCTTGCTTTTACTGGGTAAACATATTTGGAAGCTACCCATCAGGAGCAAATTGCTGAGCGTGATAAGTGTTTATGGAAGTTCAAAAACTAAAAGCAAACTGTGTGGAAAAGGGTGTGAAAATTTTGAACAATAACCGTTTTGCTGTATTTAGTACCGATTTTTGTCTAATCCACATAAAACCAAATCACATCGAAAGTAAGCTGAAAGACTAAAACAAATGACAGTAAAGTTAGTTTGATAATGGACATTAGACATTCCCTTCTTTCTCAGCACATTGGTCATTCCCATGGTACTGTTCAGGGAATGTCCAAAACGAGACATTGCGTGTACAAACCTATGGGGATATCCAATATCATACTAACTTTACTGTGTTAAGAAAATGGGGCTCTAAACCTACTGTGGAGTGCCCGTTATTTGCTAATTCAAAATGCTGTTCTAACAGGGACTGCTATGAATGTGCATGTAGAGTCGACGCAGAATCTTTGATTCACTAAATGATGACAAATCTATTTAATCACCTTGGTTATATGTAAATACTGCTCTTCGTCTTCTTAATATATTTAGAAGTACAAATGTGACGGAGTGGTCCAAACAAATACATTTAAATTCCCAGTTCGAGGCCTCGAAAGACAATGTAGCGAGCCGGAGGCATTGTCCATTAGCGCTCAGGGCCTTATCGGCTTTAAACCTGCTTGTTTGAAACCGCTAAAAATCATTTTATTCCCATTCATAAATACCTTGTTCGTATAAAGTACATTCACCAAAACCTCATCAGTTGACCTATTTCCATTTGCAAACAACTTGTCAGGCTGGTGTGTTGAGTAGTACCAAAATGGTTTCACCCCCTTCTTGACTCTTATTCTATACTTTTATACATCTTAATCCAACCCCTATGCATGACAATTATCACCGATCAAATGGGCATGCGAAGTGCAACAACAGAGTCCGTATAGAGTCGTAATCTCATCACTCACTGGATTAACTGGGCTGAGTCACATCTTCCAAATAAAGGGAGGCACATAACGGAAATTTTCAAGAGGAATGAAATGAAAAGAAGAGAGATTTTCCAATCTTGGGTGTGGCCGGATCTTTTTCCTGGGGGGTTGCAAATCACTTTTCTTCTGAGGTGGGGCTTGGCACTTTCCAGGAAAAAGAAGTAAACAACAGCGGGAGGGGGCAATTGTGAGGGTTTTCCCTAAAATGGATGATTTACATCCCCTTTCATCTCTATTTCTGTCAATTGCTGTTGCTGTTTTCCTCCTTTTGCTTTTTTTCTTGTCTTTTTTTGTTGAGGGTGGGTGTGCCCCTTACGCCCCCTCGAGGCGCCCATGCATGCTTCCAATCCTTTCTTCACCTTACTGTTCGTATTGATCCTCGTCCGAATCCAACCCGGGCCTGTCCTTCCTGACCCAAACCCAACCCACTTTGTTGTTTCATTTTCAAAGGATTAGTAATGAGACAGCCGCAAAATAATTTCGTACATACTGGATAAAATATGGATGTCTCCCTCTTTCTGTTTCCGTGCAAATTTCATTCAAAAAAATTGATAAGTGTCACAATAATCAGGTAAAGCATAAGCCCATCGTTATCGTCTTATAAGCCTCACGTATTATGCATGTGTCGTAATGATGAAATGCACATAAACGGCATAATAAAGAAACTTTAATTCGTCAATTGCTAAAAGAAAAACCCTTTTCGTTACCTTAAATCAAGGCACGAGGAACAGTTTAAAAATGGTCGATCAGAAAATGACACTTCTAGGTTACAGAATCCTGCCAGCCAAATTGATTTGTACAATCTCTCCGGGACTAGTAATTTCTGCCTTTTTTCTTACCATGAGCCCTTGTACCATTTCTATTCCTAGATGTCCTTCAGCTCCGCTTCCGATGTACTCTCGTTCAAAGGTCGGTTTCCGTATTTCTTTCGGACGAACCCGGCTCAATCTGGCCTGAACACGCCTCGTATTGCCCTCCTGAAGGAGTACAGATGGGAGAAAGTCGCCATCATACATGATAGTTCAGAGTATTTCACAAGCGTAAGAGACATTTACACTTCGTATGATCATTCGTAATTTAGATTTTAAACCTACTTATATCAATTAAGATCAAATGATCCTCGCAAGAACGCCCTCAACAATACCAATTTAACAATCCCTAGTACCTATCTTTTATCTCTTTTTAGGCGATAAATACCTTTTCAGAAGAGCTGTACGCAAACAACCTGACTGTACTGGCAAAAGAGTCTTTCCCTGCTGGAGAGCAGCCCACGGTACAACTTCAGAACATCAAGGTGTGTGATAACGGCCCACGTTTTGGTATACATTTTCATTGCTGTAAAAAGGAAGCTAACGTGCAAAACATAATCTTCATTCAAAAGAATTAACAACATGGTAAAATATGGGGGGGCAATAATGGTGTTAGCGTCAATAGAAATTCAACAGAAACTTGACCTCATCAAGTGTAAATGTGCTTTATAACACAAGACGACGTCGACTAGAATGCAAACTAAGGATATTTTGATTATAAAGATGAACAAAGAAACTGGCTGAAGCGGGATTTGAAACATGGAACATGGAACACCGTACCAGTGCTGTACCAACTCAGCCCTACGTTGGTGGCTTTCCCATTTGTCAATATCTCTGTTCGGGAGGGGGGGCTAGCCAGCAGCCATTAAACCTGAACCACCATGTAGCCATGGATCACACCCCAATAACACGATACAACCTGGGAAATGCTGAACAGGAATCACTCAAAGAGGATACGGCTACTCAAAGAGGTTTAATGGCTACTGGCTAGCACCATTCCCCGAACAGAGATATTGGCAAATGGGAAGAGCCACCAACTTAGGGCTGGATAGCTCATTTGGTAGAGCACTGGTACGGTGTTCCAGAGGTCGCAGGTTCAATTTCAGCTCCACTCAGTTTCTTTGTTAATCTTTATAATCATTTATAAGCACCTAGCCAGTTTTCCCATAAAGTTTCTGTCCTAAGGATATGTTATTAGTTCAAGGGCATCTCTGCCTTCTCGAGGCAAAATGACGAAACGGTTCCTTAGAATTCACGTTTTTTTCTGATTTCCACAGTTGATGGAGTATCTTAAGTGCACGAAGTACTTTATTAAGTCACATGATCTCGTAATAGGCAACGGCTTTAGTTTTTAAATAGAGGCATGCCACGGCAAAAGTCACCAGGCCTTATATAGACAGCGATGACTGTTCGGACACGACACGCTATACACTGTTGGTTTGGTTTGGTAACGCTGTCCATTTTTTCGAATCCACAGTGGACAGTGACGCCAGTATTCCGTATTTTTGTTCAAAACATTTTCAAAAACACTATCAGTACTAGACGCGCAGCTATAGTTATACAGCATGTTCAACCATTTGTTTCCACGACCGTAAAACAAGTCTAACATAACAACTGGTATCGGGTAGAGATACATTACAGCCATTCTCCGTAGCCGCAAATGGAACTGTTGGTTTGGAAGAGATTTTAAGAGTACTCTATCTTTCGAAATCTACCAGTTATAACGATAGGCCTAACATAGCGCTGGAAGCTGACTGAGGCGTGCCTACGGGCACCGTGGAGACGCTTTGTACCACTGGAAAGCAAACTGTGCTTTCTCTTTCCGGTTGGACGTTTTCTTTTCCACTCCGAGGTACGAAGTTTAAATTTGATCTCCCTCTCTGGTAGGATAAAGATGCACGTATCATAGTGGCGAGTGCGTACGAGGATGGCCTTCAACGGGTGTTCTGTGAAGTAAGGAACTTCAGTACTCATCAAAGCTAATAAGTTGACCAGTAAAACTCAAAAGACTCGAGTTCTTTTCAGAGTCATACACCTTTCCAAAAGATGTATCGACCAATAGCTTGGCAGCCAATGAGGCAAACCGACAGAACAAACATGGATGATCAAGATTATCGGCTAATGAGTCAGATGTATTGACCTTGTTTCCCCAATAGTTAGCCAAGCTCAGACTTATTGTAAAGGCTAAATATTTATAATTCAACACCTGTTTCTCGAAATGCGATGCAGCGTTAATTCCAGTAAGTTGGATCAGATTTTTATCAATGTTTTTTCAGTAAAAAGTAAGCATTTCAGACTCCTCATGTCAATTAAAATAGTTCACTTCTTTGTTAAGTATAATTATGACTATTTTATATTTTAACAAATTTTGAAAAAAAGTAATAATTGCATAATTCTGTTTTGGAATCGAATCCATCACAACTCCTTTCACATGACCCTTCACAAGTCCAGTCACAAGTCCCTTTAGGTCATTCATAGGTAAAGCCTGATTTCCACATGGTCGTTTGCAACGCAGACGGTCCGCACGACGTCAAGACGCAGACAGTTGCGGAAGAGACGCGGCGCAACGTCATTCCAACCCCCAAAATATTAAAAATGGCGTCTTAAACTCGGCAAATGTTTGCAAAAAAATGCCTTTTTAGGTGCAATTGTTGCCTCGTGAAGCCAATCTGATACTTCGGTTTGATGTAATGTGTTAATGGTCAGCTATTTTGTCGACAATTAGGGATGCATATGCTAATAATAAGGGAAAAACGGCCAAAATGAGTTGTACCAGGGGAGGGAAACATCGCTGTATACACGTCATGCCAGCATGCGTGTTTGCAGAGGCCTGCTCAGCGACTGAGACAGTCGACAAAGTTGAACCGGGCTCAACTTTGCCGATCCATCTGGGGCTGGTTTGCGTTATGTCTGCGTTGTCGGCGACACCTCTGTTTGGCATTTTTCCATATGTCTGCGTTGCAGTTTACGTCTTGATTGCGTTGCTCTCTGCGTTTCTTATATTGATATGGAAACCAGGCTTAACGGGCTGAATAATGACAACAGAATGCTTTTTGTTACGGATCATTTGACTAGCTTGTAAACTGGCTTGAGACTGATTGACTTGTGATGGACTTGCAGGGACTTGCTGGGACTTGTGATAGACTTGAATACAACACCGGCATAATCATAATATGTTTTCTCAATTTTAATTACACTTTCTAACTTCACAGGCCTATCACCTGGGAATGTACGGCTCAAGATACACCTGGATGATCGAAAGTTGGAATAGCCTGAATTGGTGGCAAAATGTTTCCCGGTTAGGTTGTACGAACGACCAGATGTACAAAGTGGCCGAAAATTATGTTGGAACAGTCTTTCTGAATTTACGCACGGACAACAAGAGTTCGAGATCTGGCTTGGTGAGATTAGATGTAAAATCTTAACTCCGTTTTCCTTAGACGCGCCCGACATGGGTGGTGTATTGGTTAAGCCTGACAGGTCTCGGAGAGATCTTTTGATTTTACGCTACCTTTCTTAAGTGCGTGATTTGTTATGCTTTAGTTGGTTTGCTCAAAAAATCCAGTCAAAGTGTTTTTTTTTTCTTTGGTACTCACCGCATAGGCGCGCCATGAGGCGCGCAAGTATATGTGCGTTTGACGCAGATCACGCTGGGTACGCGTAACTAATTTATTCTGGAATGTATTGTATTTGCGTACACGCAGAACGCATGCAAGAACCCGCTTGTAACCACCTGTCTTTCTTTCGTCGATTGGGGGTGCACATTAGCTCGGGGCGGATACTTGGGCGTTACTTTACATGACAGTTTTAGCGATTTGATTATTCTCTTAACAATGATCATGTAATCCTTCTTTTGACTTGATGTTATCAAAGATTTCTATGGTGAATCAATTCACACTTACACAAAAGTCACATTACCTTTCTTTTTTTGTCCTGCTTTCCTTCTCTGACGTCTTCATTATGATCATAGACGGTCAGCCAGTACGAGGATGCCTATACTTCCTTCACGCGCGGTGTACCATACGCAGGGAAGGACTTCGCCTCATTTGGGTACGATGCTGTCTGGGCCGTGGCGTTGGCCCTACACAGCACGGTAGAAGAGCTCGCAGCGGAAAACTCTTCCGTGAGGATCGAGGACTTCAATTACGATAACATCAGCCATTTGAAGGAGCGGTTTTTGAAGGCGCTTGGCACTCTTTCCTTTGAAGGCATCACGGTAAAGCCAGTCAGTCGACCTCCTCAGAAATGCAGAAAAAAATTAATATTAATATCTACAATTAAAAGTCTTTTAAATAAAGTGTACCATAAAACCAAGTTAAAGAACTTAGATCAAACCCCTGTGATTCGTCTGGTTGAATTCTCTTTCCCAGGGAACCGTCTCCTTCGACAGATCAGGAAATCGTCTGGCTCCCTTCAAAATCGAACAGCTGATAGGTATAACAGAAATTATTTTTGCCATGTCTTGTTCACAAACTATGTTTGCGGACAATCCACATCTTATTCTGTTGTACAAATAGGTTTGTGAACAAAAAGGGGTTCAGGAGCCAACCAGGAAGATTTCTGCCTACTTATTGTTACCTTAGGCATGTTTATTCATGTCGAGGATTGCATAATGCTGTCCGCAACTCAAAGCTGAGCAGATATTTACCTTCTTTTGGTTCTGAAACGCGTAGCTTACTTTGTTGACAGATGGAGTGGAGGAAGATGTGGGCATATATTTCCCTGCCAGTGGCCTTCAGTGGAAGCGCCATGGAAAACTCTCATTCACTGGTAAGTTGGAAGGAATGAGATCCAAGCGTGAGGTTATCATCTCGAAAAAAAAAGGAATAAAGAAGGAAGTGGTCCTACCAATACAGTTTTGTACGCGCCATCTGTAATGGGTGATATTTTGAGATCCAATTGAGCTAAACCTACCATTTTTTCTGAGGATTATTGCTAACAACCAACCCATCAACACTAGGAAAATACAGACTCTCTTGATTGCAGGATGTGGGTGAACAGTCACCTTAATCTTGGGGTTAGTTTTGTTGAACCACGCTCCATACAATTAAGAACATACTGAAAAAAAAAGAGATGTCAAAATGGTGCAAGGGAAACAAAATACAGATTAATCTCCGTTCATTCAGCTGAATATAAACTGAATATACGCTGAATATAAATGACGGGGTAAAGAGGTATCTTGCAATTGTATTATCATTGACGAATATAAAGCTGAATATACGCTGAATATAAATGACGGGATCTTGCATTAGGGCTCGTATACTAAAACCATCAACGACCAAAAGAAACCCGGTGTTCAATATTTTTACCACAAGGAATACCCTTCCCTTTCGCCGTGTAGCTGCCTCAGGGGCTTGTTACGTTCTTCCTGTTGCCATTCGTTACTCCTGGATTTGCATATCTCTATCAGATGTAACAGCTAGGCCTATACCAGTCTATCATACACATGTGTCTACCGGGCACAGTCAGGGCATACGAAGGCAAACAAATAAGGCATTTTGTTCGGCATCAAAGTAAAATGGACAAAACCTTGTATACAATTCCCAGCTATTCTATACTCTTTACTCTCTTGAGTGTATTTGATGCACAAAAAGGAATGAAAACAGGAAAACTTTGTTATAGTGGTATTTTTCAAGTGGTAATCGTTGACCCAAGATGGTGCGTCACGTCTTCAGGTGGCAATATAGAGTTCGCTATATTTTGACGCGAAAAGCCTTTGCTATTCGCTGGAGCCATAGCCATGTTCAATGGTCATGGTAACAAGTTATTAAAAATATCATCAGCAAAAATTATTTAACGGGAAGCAAAGAGCATTGTGGGTAGGTTAACGTCGGGACCCCCAGAACATTCCATACGCAAACGGAAATACTGACCCCTGGTTGCTGAATAAACATGGGAGGTCAGAGACTTAAGCCATCAGCGGCACCCATTGACGAACGCTGGGTGCAATCAGATATCCACTTCAAGCAACCTTCCGAATGAATTGTAGACTTTATTGTATTGGAAGTGGGAAGTTATACCAAAATAATGTCCAGTTTTCGTGGAGAATGTATTATACCCTTACCCTTTAGTATTTTACTCGTGAAGGAAATCTTTAATACCATCCTAAGAGGCTTTACTTTCTATTTTTGAATGATTCCCTTCAGCTGACCGCCCGCCACAAGATGGTCCAGTACGGGAATTTGTTTACCTTGGCATTCACACGCCGTCTTTTGCAGTCTTTACGGGACTAGCTGTTCTAGGAATGGGAATGACTACCGCCTTCTTGACTGTGAACATCGTTTTCAGGGACAAAAGGTACTTTTTAAGTAACATGTTACTGTCTTTGTCCATTTTCCATCGACAATACTGGAAGTTAGCACCTGTTAAGAGCGAATTTAATAATAAAAATAATGTGTTAGAATTGATACGCGATGAAAAGATGACTGGAATCTATCTCGATTTTTCGTATTCATCCAAACAGATTTGACACTCTTGAAGTTTTAATGGAAACGGCTCCGTCTGATTTGCAGAATTCTATAGAAAAACTTAATATCCCGTGTTGTCTTGTTCATAGTGCTGCAGTCATGCACAGTCCCGTATCTGCCTCGAGCAGAAGCACCCCCTTATCAGCTGGAAAGAGCCGCAGTGGTCGGGAGTATTCGATTTGTTGGTAGCATTTCCTAGTTGTTTCACTTCCGACCAAAGGAGCCTCCATTGCTAAGAAAATAGCGCCCTCTTTTGGTCCAGCTCGAGGTCCATTGTAGCTTATGCATGTGCTGTTTTGACCATCCATATTTATTTTCCAAATATTGCAAGTGCCGAATTTTTTTCTCCTCCTTCGAGACGACTTTTAATCGTAATTCAGGTAGCTAAACCTGAAGCTTCGGGTGTCCATACTTGGTCGTTATATTGTAGTCAGGTTGGTATATTCTGTGCCAGCCACCTTAGATTAATTGTATCCAAAGTGCCTCACATGATGCTTCGCATGATGCTCTGCTTGTTTGGAAAAGACTTTATTGCACTGGGTGCCTAATAACGTAGTTTTAGTCACTAACATGAAAAGCCGAGGCCCTCTGGAGGCCACAACATATAGAAATTACCCTTCAATGGCAGGTGGCATTTTGGACAATTCCCCAGGACACTGGCGTTCAACATCCATTACATGCGTAGAGATGGTTTTATGGCGGTATTGCTCGTACAGAGATATAGAAATAACCAACCGATCCAACTATCCACCACGCTTTTGATAGACGGACTTTTACAGAGAAATGCCCATGTTCGGAACCTGAAATATATATTTTGTTATTACCTGATTGAGAGCACAATGAAGCAAGACTTTGTCCTTTCAAGGCCGCAAATTTGGGAACTAAAGGTAATGACATTTCAAACTTTATCTTTCCCAACAATAAAGATGCTTTAAAAGAAATGAGAAAACGTACTCTCTGGGATTTGAATCAAGAACACCCACAACATTGATGCTTTCAATTATTCACTATACGCTACGGGAACCATCTAACCCAAATGACACTGAAGCTGTTATGTTATTCAGGTAATACCATAATAGTATATTTTGGCCCCACTCTGAACTTGGGTAGTCTGCAAAAACCTCGTTTATTAACAGCTTTAGGTTGTCGGGTCGGGTGTGATAATACCGATTTATCACAGCCGACATTTTGAAAAATGTTTTTAAAATGTTTTGGTAAAGATGGCAGCTGTATGCATTACTTGCCTTGATCATCGTATATTCCATTAGCTATGGTACGTTTGGATATTGTGGCCCTGAAAATAAAGGTTTACGCAGAGAAATTCAGATCTTGTCTGATCTAGGTTGAATGACATTATAGAGATAAAAACTTGTTGCGGGGACCAACATCCAAAATGGCCACCACATATGCTTGGGAGAAAATGGAATCATTGTCATTTCTAGTTCGGTATGGTAAACCATTTCCAGACTTGGTATGCTTAACCATTTCCGGATTTGGTAGCTGAACCATTTCCAAAAAAGGTATTAATCAATAAATCTCCCAAAGTGTAAGCGACACAACATCAGATCTGGCCACGTGGGCCCAATAGATTTTTTTTTACGTTGCCATATGAAATTTTTTTCTTCTTTTTCAGACAGCTTACTAGAAAACCTACCATTCAAAACAAAACTACAGAATCACTATTATAGATCCTGTCAAAAATCTACCTTCATTTCAGACACAAAGGCCAGAAAATAAAGTGCAACTTCCGGCTCAAGTTGCCAACAATTTCAATGTTTGCAGCTAAAACAAAAAAAAAAGATTAACGGAAAAGAGCTGTTTCATCTAAATCAAGGATACATGGTGTCAGTAGAGTAGTAGCTAAAGCCATACGAGTTTAGTTCTGTTTTAATATTTGATCCAATTTCGATGTATACCAACGCTTTGGTTACATTTTTATGAAGGTTGGTGAAACTGTCTTGTCCCAACGTGAACAACGTGATAGCAGTGGGATGCTTCATGTGTTACGTGGACGTCATCGTGGCCGGTCTTAATCAGAATGTTGTTCCTCGGTGGATTGTCAACGGCGCTTGCTTGGTGAGGTTTGTTTGTGTTTTGCTTGTTTGTATTTGGTAAATTAGTTACGACAGTGATTTACACTGAAGCACGCGTCGTCCAAATTTCATAAAGCCAATGGCGTAGCAGTTTGCTTAAATCTAGAACATTGTGAAGTCTGAATTGTTATTTATTTCATTGAATGTCCTGTCCCTTCAAACACACTGTGTAATCCACTGGGATTTCCTGTGTAAGTATCGTGCACAAAATATAGTAGTAAAGCTAACCAAAAATAATGTTCATGCACACGTTTGCCCAATGGTTGCACGTTACAAAATCCTTGCGTAAGGGTTCAGGAGTTCTAATACTGTTCGTCGAATTTTTTTTTTGTGTGTGCCATTTAAAATATATTTTCCAGTGAATAAAAGAGTCAAGAACAATACTTATTTTCCTCCCATATTCATAGCATGGGGAACTGCGATAAGCTCTGTTTTAATAAGGACTGTCAGTGCAAGTTTAAATATAATTTTTTAAAATCAACTTTTATGTCCGATTTCATCTTTTTTACGAGGCTCTCGTGGTCCCGTATGTGGTTTTAGTGCTAATTCGAATGTCCATATTTACCAGTAAAACTGTGATGTCATTCGTGGCAGCAACTCAGTGGACTTGTTTTACTTATTAATGTGTGCGCAAGGATCTAAAACAGTATAAATGGAAACAAACTTTCAGTTGATGTTCTGGAAATCTCTAGGATTTTTCCTATTTTTCTTCAGAAATCCCCCTGAAAATCGGCGTTAGCTAAAGCTCTTCATAGCTATTTTGTTTTTTGTCGCACAACCGTAAGACTTTACAAAATGAATTTGCGGCCTATGCGTAAGGGGTCAACGAAAAATCCGCAGTTATCATAGGTATAGTCAAATTGACCTACACAAAAGTGCATATTTCAAGATGTTAAAAAATCAAAATGCAGAACTCTTTTCCAATGATGTATTAATCATCCGCTAAGGAATATTAAAGGTGAGGACCATTATTCATTTTCCATAAACTTTTGCCGTTCTTACGTCTCCTAGAGTGAAGAAAATGTTTGCTGAGCCTCTCAAAGCAAGCAAAACCGATGTATGTGCTTTCTGGAAGATCAAATTCAACACGTCTCAGAAAGACTGAAGCGGACTTTATTACGATGGATATTTCAGAAAAAGCGCTGATGCAATGAACGGGCACGTTGATCAAACACATCAAGCGTGTCGTTTCGACATCCTTAGAACGCGTGATCAATGACAAGTCCAAAGTGATATCCTTAAAAGTGCATTCCAAGCTATGCATCATATCTGCTGTCTTCATGTAAGAAGAGATTATACTGCCCACACAGATCGTATTAAAGCCATACGCAGCGATCGTAGGGGTCTTGATGTTAATCTTCAGAATGGAAGATAAACATTTCAGCCTTGCCATTATATTCCTTGAGTAAGTTCCCCTGCGCAGTATTCATGAACACGAACGGAGAGTCAGACTCTTCAAAGCTTCAGGTTAAGAAAAGTGAATGTTACTATGAACACACTTTAAAACCTTCTGAGTAAAAAGGAAGGCTTAAAAGAGAATTATAGAAAATTCACTTGAATGAAAAATTAAATTAAAAAGTAAAAATATATAATGAGAAGGTTTTTCAGGGGGCTAGTTGCAGTAAATACATGCAGAAATGCCTTCATTTCAAAACAGGGATAAATTTACTCTAAAAGATTCCAATATTTTATCACATGAGCTAACGCCTACACTAAGAATAATTTGTTCTCCCAAATAGGCCAGATTCAGATCATTAAGAGTTGAACTCTGCAACTAAATAGGTGAGGGTTCTACGCACTCAAGCAAAAATCACCGCATGGACAAAGAGCGGGCAAAATACTCCGCCGTTTTGTCTGTCAAAATGGACCAAGTCTAATGCAAATGCTGCTGTATCATCCCCAACTCAGAATTTTGTTTTTCGTCTCTTCCGACCACAGGCTCAGGTCTGGATACTCCCAATTTCTTTCTCCCTTGCGTTTGGTGGACTCTTCGCAAAGACTTGGCGGGTCCACGTCATCTTTAGTAACAAGACCAAGAGAACCAAAGTATGTCAATTCCCAATATGAGCTGATGCAAAAGAGGACGGGAGATTTTGAGACGCTGGTGACAGCAGATACCGGTCCATTTTCACAGTATTGCGCATGCCCTGAACTGTGCATGTGTGCTCAGAACAACGCCCGCATGCTCAGGACTGGTAAAGAGGACTGGTATGTTTGCCGCCACCAAGCGTCTTAAAGTTTGCCATTGCAATTTTCAGGGATTTAACTTTCCCAATTTTAGAAATCATGCAGTGTTTTTTACGAACAAAACTTGACAGGTTTTAAGAAAAATCCACTTTCCCCCTTCCATGAAGTAAAAACTGGATACATAACTTTTAGTAGGCCTAATGGTAGGCTGCAGCGAACATTAATTTTCTTCATGTGCCAAATAGTGTCAAATTGTGGATTACAAGCCTTGAAATCCGGGTCGAGCAGAGGCATCCCCTCATCGGTTGAAAAGAGCCGCGTTGGTCGTGAGTGTTCAGTTTATTAGTAGCAATGCGACCGTGATGCGTGCAGTTCCTAGTCGTTTGTAAACAAGCGAACTTCATTTCCGACCAAAGGGGCCTTCGCTGCTCAGAAAATAGCGCCCCCTCTTGGTCCAGCTCGAGGCCCATAGTACAACCGCCCGTGTATCCTGTGACAGGCGCGCTTCAAAGGTCGCGCTTTTGCCATTTCAGTGGGGGAAGCCGTAGATAATCGGTGAACTCTATCCACATAAATGAAAATCCTCTTTAATTGTAAATAGGACCGTAGGGAGCGACAAGTACCGGTGATTTGAAGAAGAAAAGTAGATTAAATACAGACCTTCCCAATGCTAGAATCTGTGAAGAAGATGATCGGTTAGCAGTATACTCTATGTGGCCTCTTCAATCAAATCCAGAAAACGCAAGCGTCCACTTGAAGACTCAGCCAGGGTTCGGTTAGGGGTGAATGGAGTTTTGATCCTGGAGACATTGTATGGATTTATTGAGAATGCCAACACCTCAGAAGCTTTTCTAACTCCTGTAGTCTTTGGAGGGAGAAAGGAACGGCGGGTGAACTGCACGTTCCTTACAGTAATTGTATGTTAAAATTTGCTGGCTCTATTTTTGCACTAATCTTGGGCCTCCCAGGCATCATAAAAGACACGAACGTCGAGTGAAGCAATCAAGTCAAATTAAATTATACAACAATAAAATGAGCAACCAGAGCTCGTCACATGGCGTCCCAGCGCTCACCACAACGGAAAGCTTCATGATTGATTTACGGTGAACTACCCAAACAAAGGGCATTTAGAAGCTTTGCATGTAGACTCCTCGTTACCTGTGAAGAAGAAACAATGACGGTGAAGGGCCGGTTCATACTTTGCGCGCCAGCGAACAGGCCTGAGGGGGATTTTGTAGTGTCTGATAAACATTTCGCTCTCAAGATACATTCCTTGCACACGTTTTGGGGACATTAAATTTGCTTTGATTTCACAAGGTCGGTTCATACTTCACGCAAATGTCAATGGGATACCGATTTGCCAGTTTTCGCAGAGTGAGCACCTAACATAACCTCACAATTTCACGGTAAATTCTCATTCTGGGCAGGAATTCGCGTTTACTGGGCAAGCAATACCATCGAGTTGTAGGAAAATCATGGTGCGTTGCAGATTGACAACTTTTTAGGCCACCCTCTGTAGAAAAACCAGCCCCACCCAAAACCTGGGTACACCAGCAAGCCATTTTTCTGGTGCCACTGTTGCAATCTCCTATGTGCAGCTTATTCGCACAAAATCAACATTAAAGCTTACCATGTAACGACAACTTGGGGAATCCTGTCCACGAACCTCATGCAGTTTCTGTCTTGAACCATGTTCGTGAATGTCAATGAGCTAATACCGACCAATAACGGGAAAAGATTTGAAGCCAATTCATCCCCCATTTTACAGCCTTTCAACAGATATCTATTAATAATAATTCTTGTATACTATTGTGGCGCCGCTCCCCTCCAACGAAGGCGAGGGCGCCCTCCTCCTCGAGGCGCGGTGCGTCGGACGGCACGCCGGAGAGTCCCTGAGCGGCTAGGGACGAGTCCGTTGGGACCGAAGTATACCGTCCCCCAAGAAAGTTGGTCTTCGTCGAGATGATGGCTAATCTGATTGGTCGAAACCTAGTGACGTAACCCGGACAGACCTGACTTGAAATAAACTTCGCCTGGACACCTGACTTATATACACAATTAATAAGTGGCTGGTTTATTCATCAACACACTCGACAAATACACCAGTAGAGGGCGCTATGTTCGGGGAGACTGTGCGATTATATGTGACCTGACTTCGCCCAGAGCAGCGAACGCCACAATTAGTTGTAGGCATCCATTGCCGAATCAGGCCGGGGACTTTAGCAAGTCTACGAAGCTTATTGTCAGGGCTGCGCTACACGCAACTCACGTCACGAGATAGCAATCCGCCCTTGCATCGACCGCAAGCTCCTATCAGGAACTATACCGCCCCACCAATCAGCCCCTCAACCTATCAAGCCCCTCAACAACACACGCACCACTCGGACTTAGGCACAGTCACACTAGGCTAGGTGACTTTAACCCTTGCACAGGATTCTCGACCCTTATCGTACCTCAGGATCAGCCCTTGATCAGGTTGACTAAGCTTTGCTTGTGCGCACCTTTTATAGCTTTCGCGCTGCTGTGACCACGCCCGTGCACGCGCTCACGTGACCAAGCAGTGACTTCCGCTGCCCTATCGCACAACGCACAAGGCGGAGCCTATGCGCCGCGCTTGGATAACATAACACACAGCTATGCGCGCCTAACATCTGCCTCTGTTACTGGGCAGAGCGCCATCTATAACTTTGCACCGCACCTAGTGACTAGCGCCCTCTGTCGCGTCACACTATTATGCATGCATCTGTGACCCACTGAGCAGGTATACTCAGAGAATATTCTGAAGAAAAGGTTACTTGATGTTTTACTGGTTCATTTTTCTCATGCATAATGCATGGCTTGTTAGTCTTGCAATCCAATGATGCAATGAGAATATTGATGTTTATTCATTTATCACTGTGATGACCGTTTCCTCCAGATCTATGACTCCCATCTCTTCGCAATCATTGGTGTTGTAGTGGCGGTGGATATTGCCATTAACTCTGTCTGGACAGCTTACGACCCCAGCCAGTTGGTTCTTATCACCCTCGATGACCATGTAAGCCTAATTTACAAGCCTTGGTTGCTTTGCTCCCGTTGGCTTAAGACAGGGCGTAACAAACGCACAGCATATTTTGCATCATTTGTTATTCATTTGCCCACAGAGAACTTATGAGTATAATGTTTTGTGTCGATCTCGCAAAATCAAATTTTGCGGTATGGACAACATGAACAGGTTCAAGTGAGGCTTTGTGTCTGTTAAACGGAGAACCTTGCGAAGACCGCCGATTTTGAAGCACCAATAAAGTAAAAGTTGGAAAATATTTACTATATTGGCACAGTTATCTGCGAATCCAAAACCATCAAACTATGAACATGGTTCCAATCACTAGGACTCGGTGCTGTTCGTGTTGTCGTCGTTTTCTTATCTGCGCTGAGCAGAAGCACCCCCTCACCGCATTGGTCAAGAGTGTTTATCTTGTTGATTGCGATGCAGCCTGAACTCGTGAATTTCATAGTCGTTCGTGAACCAGCGAAGTTCAGTTCTGACCAAAGGAGCTTACGTTGTTAAGAAAAAATGCACCCTCCCTTGGTCCAGCTCGAGACTCGTAGGCTTCCCCATCTTAATTTATCAGCCAACGACGCAACTGGCGACTCGTACGGTCTTCATCCTTTTAACAATTTTTGTTCTCTTGGATTTGGAATACTGGACGTTTCAGCTTCTCTGAGGTACAATACACTATGATCCCCGAGCTGGACCAAGAGAGGTGCAATTTCCCAAGCATCCGAGGCCCCTATAATAGGAACTGGTTCACAAACGTCTATGAATTACACGCGTTACGGTCGCGTTATTCCAGCAAAATGAATAATCCCGACCAACGTGGCTCTTTTCAACCGATGAGGGGGTGCTTCTGTTAAAGGCGGATAGACAAATTTCATGCAGAAGCTGTAAGAATAATAGTTTCGGGTCCAAGGCTAGTCTAGGTGGTAGACGTTGTTATCATTGGATGCGCGATAATCCCTACTCACGATCCGCAAGCCACGCCCGCGTACGCACGCACGTCAGACTTGACTTCGATAACAACTTCTAGGTGATCTCTGAATATTTCCCTCATGAGCGCGCACCTACTTTGCCTAATATAATGCTGAATGCACGTATATCTTGCATAATTTTTCAAACATTGCATCTTTATATGTCTGATCCCCGGATTTACCGCGCTGCATGCACGTACAGTACACAGATATTGAATCACAGTGCATGGTACAGTATTGTGTACATGTACAATGTACATTGTACATTACAGTCATGGAAATGGCCGAACAGTCCTCTTTTGATGAGGCTGTCAAATTCGCAGCAAAAATGTTGGGTATAGCAAAACTGAGAGATCAACAAATAGCCGCTCTTTGTCAGATAGTTGGAGGCCACGACCCTTAGGGCGGTGACCCTTAGGGCCTTGTTTATTTTAATATTATCTTCGTCTTTATTACCTTCTTCTTTCATGTTATCAATAATTCTACAGCTAGATAAGGAGGCGGATAAAATCATTGAAGAGTCCTACGATAAGTGCGACTCAACCAAATCACCCCAATTCTTGTGGATCGGCATCATATTGTTTTGGAAGGGAATCCTGCTAATGTACGGGGCATTTCTGGCGTGGGAAACCAGGTAATTAAACAGCTGCTCTTCATGTTGAAAGATTTTGCAGGCGCGGTGGAAAACGAAAGGAAAGTCCATGTGGGAACCACCGAATTCACACATTAGAGGTATGAGGTATATTTGAGGTATGGTAGATACAATTGGAGGACGCTATTTGGTTTGGGTAAATCTTTAGTGTTTACTCAAAGGTCGAGTTCGGGCGGCCTGTTCTTGACACGGTTTCTTGTTCTCGCGCTCGAACAGCGGGAACATGACTCAAGAACACTGTTCTCGGAACAGGATCACACACCACCTCCTCGTCAGGGTTTTACAGGAACACATGGAAAAACTCGTGAGATTTTGATTTTTTAACAGTTTCAAAAGCAGAGAGATGGCTTCCAAAGCCATAGACAAAATGGGAAGTTTTGCAAAATTAACATTAATTATTTTCCGTAACACAGAAATGAATGTTCCTGTTTATATAGAAAAAAATCCAGCCCATCCAAACATTAACTCTGAAATAACGTAACCTACATGGACGCCGCCATATTGAATGTTGCTTGTCACTAACTACCAGCGATAACCAGTTGTTTGTTCCCGGCGTTCGAACTCGGCCTAATTCTACCCACTTCAAATGATGCCCTCCTGTTGGGTCCGCAGTGCTTCAAAAAGGCTAAAAGTTGATCCAATAGCAGGGTATAGTTATCCGATGAGTGATGTTTAGTGACCCCGAGAGTGTTAAAACCCCGATGTTAAATTACATTGAACAACAGGTGCTGCTGTTTTATGTCATAGCGTAATTTTAATAAAGGAACAAATATGTGATTGGCCCGTCTTTAAGGTGCGTTTAAAACCGGCTCAAGAGAATGGAAGCTACTAACGCCCGAGCCGCAGGCGAGGGCATTGTCAGCGTTCATTGACCGGCCAAGCATTACCATTTAGATATACCTTTTGAGTCAGAGAGTTAAAAGAAGTCAATATAATGATGGATTTCCAACGACTTTGTTCTAGAATTTTACTTTTATTTTCCCAAACACTCCCGTCCATTTTACTGTATATTCCTTGTGTAATGTCCAAAAAAATCTCCTTATATGGACTTGGCGCACGCGTGGCGAGCAGCGTGCACACAGACTCTTGACAAATCAGAATCGATTGAACTGTCCCGCATCCATTTGCCAGCGTGTGATTTACGCAGCGAGCATTATCACTTTTCAATGGGCATTATCAAATGTTAATACACAGTCAATATGCATTTTGTTAAATAGGGAGACTTTCTGAGGTATTTATGAATAAGAGAAAGTGCTTAGCCGTGCGTTTAAGATCGGCTCGGTTCAGGGGAATGGGCGCAACTAATGCCCGAGGCGCTACCGAGGCGGGGACCAGTCTATTATACCTTAAACCAACGGCGGCCATTTTACCGTGCCAAACACAAAGGCGATGGATGGCTTGCTTGTCATTGTAACAGAACTATTGATACCAGGAAAGAAATTTGATTACTCGTAGCGAGCAAGCTCTTGTATTACCTTTTTTCAGCACGGCGAGGGCCGTCCGCAAAGAACGTACGCACGAAATGTCGACTTTTTGAACACCCCTCCTCCTTCGTGTGTACCTACTTTATGGACGGCCCTTGTAAGATGACCGCCCGGTGGCTTCAATGGCTGTTTAAGCGATTGCGGGTCCAGATCATTTTATATGAAGTCTGTGCGGCTACTTGAAATATGTAACACGTGTTCCCATAGAAGTCACTGGCTAGCGGTTTTATAGACGCATCAGTGAGTTTGCCACTCTTCACCGCAGCCATGCACGTGCGTAATTTTCTTGTATCTTTCTGAGGAGGTCTATGGGCCGAATCAATGAAATTAATTGCAAGTCTGTTTGCAGAACTTTCTTAAGTAAAAGTAAGGCTCAATAAGTTGTTGTCAGTGTATTTACAATCTCAGGAACGTGACCATGTCTCAACTAAATGACTCCAAGTTTATTGCCGTGGCTATCTACAACGTGGCTGTTCCAAGCATCATCGTTGCCCCTCTGGCTACCTTCATCAGCACCGATTTGCCTGGCGTCTCTTACATCCTCACTGCATCCTGCATCCTCTTCGGGACAACTGTCACCAACTGCTTGATTTTTATCCCCAAGGCAAGTTTACTCGGGACAGTGCTGGTTAATCAGTAATCTCTTGCGGGATTCCGTTGGACGGGACACTAGATAAATTGAAAGGTGCAGTAATGCTTGATATCTAGCAGATCTCAAAAGGCCAGTCAGACTCATTCCCGACGATAATTCGCTTAATTAAATACACGTAGAGTGTTTTCTTTCCAATCATTATGGGGTGTCTGACCTAAATGCACTCCTGTTGTGGGTTTGGATTTCTACTGTGCCACACAGATCATTGCGCTATGGCAGGAGAGACACGAGGAGGCGCTTCAGGACCAATGCCTTTTCACAACCTGCAACCAGATAGCTCCACAAAATGCATCCTCAATCCAACGCAGTATCAAAATCGTCTCTGTTGCGGTGCTGAAGGAAAAGGACAAAGAAATTGCAGAGCTCAAAGAGCAGTTGGAACAGGTGAGACAAAATACCAGGCTATAACGTTATGATCATGAGTCTAGTCTGAGCCCTTGATTACTGTACCTCAGACGAACGTCCAGTCCGAATGTAATCATTTTTCGGCGCAGGCAAGACGCATGACTGGTCGATTAACAGTGGACGGCAGTACGGAAATCAGTTTTGGACTATATTTTCTCAAAATGCGTCCCTGTGTTTTAGTGGAATTTCTTTAACAACAGTTGTATAAATGTAACATAGGAAGCGGGGTCGTCTGCGATCCGGAAATTTATCTCGATAATTTGTAGGCATCTATACTCTCGTCAAGATACGATGTCATCATGCTGTGATGATAAATACCGGGATTTCAAAGAATCACGGATGACACTTAAAGAGCTCTGTAGAGTATCACACTGAGCAGTTCATGTGACTTCGTCCTTTTTCACCTATTTTGACGTGAATAATTGGTAACTGATGTGAAGCATAGATCTACTACATTGTATACGGAAGAAAGCAATTAGGAGTGTTGAATTAGCAGACCTTTTAGAAAAGAGGAAATCAACCGGTTCATTTGAAGTTACATACATCTCAAGATATCGAGACTATATGTTGAAGTCACTTTTCCAGTTGTCCGTCACTGTTACTCGAACAGTTGTAATCTGAATTGGCATGATTCATGATGCGACTTGTTATTAACCTTCGATTAACTCAGTTTCAACTGTTTATAAAAAACCTGTTTACATGAAATAATTACGTACATGTTACATTGTCTTTGTATGATCAGAAGGAGCTGAAAATCGCAGGACTGATGGAGCTGTTAGGCAAGAGTCGACCTGAGCAGAAACTGAAAATCAACAACTGGGTGAAATAAGAGCCCCAAAGCCACCATGTCCTCCTACACACCAACAAATATGCGGAAAAGCAAGAGGGACCGTTTTCGTAGGGTTTTGGTAGGGGCACCTGTGATGTTCTGTTGTTGGCTCTCCAGCACGGAGGTAGTGGGTAAATGGACTGGGAGTGCACTCATATTCCGGGGTAACGGTCCCCCCTTATCCGGTGAGCTGACTTGTCCGAGAGGGAAATTTCGCTTCAATACGCATGCGAGAAATTGTGTAGTGGTGAATATTTCCGCTAAATCAGCCTAGAAATGTGAGCACACTGGATAAGTAAGACCGTGGGATATAGGCCTATATGTTTATTCAGTATAAATCAAACCTTTCTCCTTCGGGGAAGTAAATGTGGTTTCCACAAGAACCCCCTCCGCAAATAAAACCTTACTTAGACAACTACGCTGAGTTTACGGGATACGCCTCTGGCTTAGCCCAAAATAAAATTATGAGGATGGTAGAATGAAATGCCAAGTTGAGGAACTCGCTTCTTTATTTATATTCCTGCACGTGCGTTTTCTTTGTGAAATCAGATTCTTCTTCAAAACAATGTCTAATTTTACACCAATCAACACTGGAGCAAGATACGTCACATACGTTGTACATTGTCAACGTAAAAATGTAGGTTTTCCCGGCCAATTTCAGAAAAGGTGTCAATGAGTTACTGGTAGCAGTAGCAGGAGTCGTTATCGAGCGAAATAGAGCGAACATTCAAATCCCCGTTTCTGTTTAAATCACACATTGTCCGCAATTGGCCAGGAAAACCTATATTTATCCCACTGCATAGCATTTGTGTGTAATATCCAAGTCACTGATTCTAACTCAATACAAATGATTTGAAACCAATAATTTTGTTTTATTTTTTTATTTTTAAAGACCAACAACTTCTATAAATGCACTTGTGGGTCGTACGATGTCCTGTTGAGGATAAGAAGCTTTGCTTTCAAATCTCCCATTTCATACCTGTAGCCTACTCATTTGGCCTCAGTTAGTATCAGAAAATGTAAAGTAGAGCGCACCTGCAAATCTCGTTAGTGGACTTCTCCTAGCGTACCGGAGTTGTACTTGTTCACCTTGTGATCACCTTGCATTCCTCGGGTCTCTTATCTAGCTCAGAAATGTACATTTGCAAAGCCTTGCTGAGAAGCTGATCCTGTGTTGATTCATAAATCTCATTGTCTTCGTGTTTCCCGTGCTTAATTGGGTATGGAGGAAACTTACCCTCCACGTGGCTACATGGCTGGACGTGGTAAGGTTCCCGGTGTATAAATGGTCAATAACCTTTAAATCTATGTCTGTCGGTTATTTTTCAAGATGATTGTGTAAGCAGTCTGTGCACCTGATTCTGTGCTCAAGTCACTTTGTTAACCTGCATTTCGAGATACCTTTGTGTTGCGCTCGACCCTTTGCTTCATGCACACGACCCTAATTCAGGAAGTTATTGGTCTTCTTTTGTGCCCATTGGTTGAGACTTTTCACCTTCGCTCACTTTAAAGAGAAATTAAAAGGGTTTAATATATTTTGACGGGGGCGGTTAGATAGAGATCGGCCATACACAAACCAAAACATCAGGCAGAAATCTAGAACATGTAAGGTCAAATCTTGTATTTAATGATTTGGCTGGTAACGGCGATGACACTGCGGCTATGCGTAGTCCTATCGTGCCTTGCGATACACAGTGTATTGATGAACAGCGGCGTAGCCTAAATTTGTGCCGGGAAATGGGGGATGGGGATTTGTGGGGGGGGGGTGACTTGCCCAGCAATGTAAACCGGGGAGGGGGAAGTGCTGATGACACCGTATGGCAATTGGGGCAGTTTTCACGACACAGATGTATACCTTTTATATTACACTCCTGCACAACCTAACACCAAAACGGCATTCTTGTTGCTTTTTAAAGTGAGTTGTTCTCCCTTTATGAGTGCTACTGAATACTTTTTGGTTATTGAGAAGTCTGAGAAATTTTTCGAAATCTTCCTTATTTTTTTTCCCTCACCACGGTAGAGAATAATTCAGAAGCCCATCCCCCGGGTAAAAACGGGGTTGACATTCCCCTATGTCCCCTGGATTTACGCCCACCTTGATGAGTTTATAAAGAATAATTCTTGACATTAAACTTCATATGAAGCAAGATATGAGAAGGAGAGAACCCCTTTCGATTGATCGTCCCCAGCTCTTCCTTTTTGCATGTGACACACCTAAGGTAAGAAAAAATCCTGTTGCATTTGTTATGTTAGTAATATATCAAGGGAACAAAATAATTAATTGTTCTATTTATAGGTTCCCCCGGCCAATTTTAGCAAAATGTCATTCAATTTAACACAGGGCCCGTTTAATTTCGTTTTAAAAAGAGTGATCCTTCACATGAGCATTGGGAAATCAACAGAACTATCTTACCTGTAACTTTATTTTCTCTTGTACACTTATCTAGTGTTCAAGCATGTTTTTCATATAATTACACTCGCTAAAGATTTTAATTTAGTCATAGTGGATTCACTCATTCAAACATTTGAAGCCAATACTGTATATTTATCTATCAAATAGTTGCGCCAAACCCTTAGAAAACAACACCACGAAATAAAACCAAGGATGTCCGTGAGCAATGCTTATGATACATGTATTTTTTTACTCCTTCAACATCATGCTGAATAAGTCCGAAGAGGCATTCGCTTTTGAATCCTCCCCTGCAACACTAAAAGCTGGCTACACTGCTGTGGATGTGGTCTTGTCGGAATAAGTCACAGTAATTTTTATGTACAGCACGCGAGGTTTCCAGTGTTACTTAGACATCTTATTTCCCATATTTTTCCCTTAATTTTGTGGCGTTTGAATAAAATTCTTCGCTACATGTTCATCTTCAGTGCTATAACTGTAGTCAGCGTTTAATAAATCATATATTCATTACCAAATCATGTCTGTATTGCCTCTGTATTTTTTGTAATTTTGCCGAAACTTTTGAACGTTGTCTTTGAGTTTCATGAAAAATTTCCACAATCTGACCGCTGGTGGCGCTGTTGAGAATATGCATGTACAGTGTACATGAAAATGGAGCTACATGTGCGTGCACCGCCCGGCCGCGGCGTGTCAGGTTTCGATCCGTGTACAGGCTCTGCTGTGCCGCATTATCTCTTTTCGGTCGAGAGTTTGTGCTCCTTTCTTCATGACTTACAATAATGCCCAAATCGTGCGTCATGGTGGACTTACTAGAAATTCTGCGAAAAAGTGGGATTGAAATTTTTCGAGTTTCCGAAGAATGAGAGCATTCTTCAAGTTCGTGTTGTCCACAGCTATGCGTGCTACGCCGGGATGAAAATCGCGCGCGCACTGTGGTATTTCCTCTCCACGATAATACATCACAGAAATCAATAAGATGCTAATCAGTCGTGACGACGTGTCCATTTTTACAACTGCAGACTGGACTCCCAGGAAAAATAGGTACAAAAAGGTGTCGCAATGGAGATATTGATATATGCCAGTTTTATTAGACTTGGTTCGTCTGAATAGGATTCAATATGAGAAAATTCAACATCGTTGGAGTTGGTCTTTAAGACTCAATGGTAGTAATGCTCCCGGAAAGATTTCTGATATCATTTACATAAAAAGTCACTGTAGAAAATATATATCTAGTTGAAGGCTTAGGCTGCAGTTGAACGTCTGGTCACTCATTTTTTCCCACTCTGGCCAAACAATAATTACATGTACACCCATTTCAAAAATCATCTTTTTGTTATGCATGTGTAATTTTTTTCCCCTGAGGAATCTTTTATTTTACTCTTAAAACATTGGGTTGTTGATGAAACTCCCTTTTTTCAAGTTAGTGCCATGTAGTAACTTGAGCAAATTCCATCTCATCGAGGGAGAATTAAACAAGCACTGGCTTGGCCGGAGAACGTTTGGCCAATTCAAATATTTTGACTGGTGGATGCAGTGTAGTGTAAAATATCGGAGAGTGACGGGCTGCTTGCCCAAATTTTGAAACTTTGAAGGTCTGATTGGTCCAGCACAGAGTCTAGCGGAGTTTCAAAACGTGGGTTCTGTACGTAATGCGTCCCCCCGTCAAGGGCAAACCCTACGTGCGAATCATAGTTGGCAAAACCTAACCCTAATCAACAATAATCAACAAAAAAACCTCGGCCAAGTTTGCTATCACAAACCATTATTTCCAGCACTTGAGAAAGTTGAAATTCACATAGGTCTACGTTATCCTACATTGTCAACAACACCGTTATGCACTGTCAGACCTACTCAAGGTCATATAGGCAACTAGGATGAGAGATAACCTTTTCCAATTTTTCTCCTCACTCCGATTTTGGAACCTCTTTTCAGTCCCTCTGTTGCTTTTGCCGTGGCGCTTTTGCTTTTGCCGTGACAGTTGTGGGCCACCGTACTCTGTTATTCCACCTCCCATGATGGGTGCACTGAACCAATTCAAGCTCCATTGAAAATAGTGTAAAATCAACCAAGTTTGGAGCCCCATTGCAGGCAACTG